CGAAAAATCATCTGAAAATATAAAAATAAAAAGTTGAGAAATGAAAAATTAGAAAAATCGAGAAAGTAAAAAATCGAAAAATCACAAAACTGATACATATATCGAAAAATTGATGAATGAAAAGTTGAAAAATTGAGAAATCGAAAGATTGAGATATCTAAACAACAGATAATCGGTAGATGTCAAATTAAAAAATTCGAAAAATTACAAAAATAGAAAAATCGAAGAACCGAAAAATCTAAAATTTAAAAAATCGAAAAATTAAAAAATCGAGAAGGCGTATATTCGAAAAACGGAAGAGTTGAAATATTAAAAAATTTAAAAATCGAGAAATTGAAACATCAAAAAATTTTAAAACGAGAAATCTAAAATTTAAGAAATCGAAAAATCTACAATTTAATAAATCGAAAAATTGACAAATCGAAACATCTAAAATTTGAAAAATCCAAAAACCTAAATATTGAAAAGCCGAATAATCGAAAAATTGAAAAACCAAGTGTTGGAAAAGTCACATATCTACCTAACTGAAAAACTGAAGCTTTCGAAAAACGTAAAATTTAAATTTTCGAAAGACTGAAAAACCAAAAAACTGAAAAATAAAAAAAACGAGAAATCGAAAAATCTAACATTTATAAAATCGAAACTGAAAAATCAAAGAATCGAAAAATTGAAAAATACCAAAACTGAAATGTGGAAAAATGGAAAAATCGAAAAACTGGAAAATCCAAAAATTTTAAAATCGAAAAATTGAATAATTGAGAAATTGAAGCATCGAGAAATCCAAACATAAAAAGATCGAGAAATGGAGAAATTGAACAAAAGAAAAATCGAAAAACGTAAAATTTAAAAAATCGAAACACTGAAAAACCAAAAAACTGATAAATGAAAAACGGGAAATCGAGAAATCGCAAAATCTAAAGTTTATAAAATCGAAACTGAAAAATCAAAGAATCGAAAAATTTAAAAATACCAAAACTGAAATGTCAAAAAATGAAAAAATTGAACAACTGGAAAATCAAAAAACAATCGAAAAATCGAAATATCGAAATGCCGATAAATCGAGAAATCGAAAAACGTAAAATTTAAAAAATCGAAATTGAAATGTTGAACAATTTTAAAAATGGAAAGACCGAGATGTCAGGAAAGCGGAAATTCGGAAAACTGAAAAACTGAAATACTTATTATAAAAATACAAATCTGGAAATCGCAACATCAAACAATGGTAAAATCGAAAAATTGAAAAACTAAAGAAATGAAACATCGAAAAATCAAAACATCGAAAACCATGAAATCGAAAAATGGGCTGATCAAAACATCGAGAAATCGAACTTAAAACCACAAAATTGTAAATCTGAAAAACGGAAAAAATTTTAAATAATCGAAAAATTGGGTATATCGAAAAATTGAATTCGAAAAATCGGCACTGAAAATTTAGAAAAGCCGAAAATTGAAAATTTGAAAAATAAAAAAATTTGAAAATCGAAAAATGGGGGAATTAAACTGAAATATCGGAAAATCGTCGGGATTAAATAGAAAGGTTGAGAAATGGAAAATCAGAAAAATCGATTAAGAGAAAAATCGAAAAATCCCAAAACTGAAATATCGAAAAACTGAAAATCTAAAAATTGAAGAATCATAAATCTGAAAAAAATATCGAAAAATTGAAGAATCGAAATTTGAAAAATTGAGAAATCGATAAATTGAAAAATGGAGAAATCGAAAAGTGTAAAAATCGAACAATCGAAAATTTTAAAAATTACCGAGAGGTCGAAACATCAACAAATCGATAGAATCGCCAAAAATTGAAAATTCATAAAATAGAAAAATTTTAAAATCGAAAAATTAACAAATAAAAATACTGAAAAATTTCGAAATTTAAATATCGAAAAATTGAAATATCGGCAAATTACTAAACTTCGTAACGTCAAAATTTGAAATTTTGAAAAATAGAATAATTCAAAAACCGGAAATTGAAGAATCAAAGCATTGAAAAATCGTAGTAAAACTGAAATATCGGAAAAACGAAAAATCGAAGTTAAAAAGTCGAAAATTTAAAATATCAAAAAATTGAAAAATCAAAAACATGAAAAATTGAAAGATGGAAACTGAAGCAGTGAAAAACTGAAAAACTGAAAAATCGAAAAATTTCAACATAAGAAAATGAAATCGCAGTACCGCAGGTCGCCACGGAGGCTTACAAACCGTGTCGGGAATAAAACGTTAATATACCTTGGAAATGTTTTTGCGAAAATTTGAACGTCTAGCGAAAAAACTGAAAGTAGATTCGTACACAATCAAATCATTTTACATAGAATACCTTTCATTGAAATGACGTCATCAAATTGTTGGCGCGGATGATTAGCTAAATTTTATTTAGCATTTAAGCATCTATATGATATTTCAAATGATGACGTCAGCAATTTTGCGGGAGGGAGGAGTTTCATGATGATTGCTTACGATAACATTTATAACATTTATTCGACCAAATTGTAAGATATTGTTATCAATCAAATCATTATAAGATTTTGTGATGTCATTATTTTTTGGGATGATTTTTAATCTGTTTACAAATTCTGAATTCGATTACAGGAATTTTATTAAAATTTTACAACCATGGCTAATTTTGATTGCCTTTTTTCGATTGCACAGTATTATATTTTTCGATAACACTGTTTGATCTATTTTTATAGCTTTTATAAATTTAATCTGCATAAGTTTAATGTCGAACGTCATTAGACAAAAATGACGTAAAACGCAGATCTTCCGATACCGTTTTAATTTCATAAACCGCATGAGTTAACTGTCATATACCAACATTATTAATAACTCTTCATTATTTTCATGTAGATAAGAAAATTTATGAGTGTAACACTATTATTTACATTCTGTGAAATTCCACAAAATGGGAGGCGTTTCATAGCGGTTGCAACTCTTATCAATTTACAGTTATTAATTCTGAAGTGGCCGTCAATCGAGCCGAAAATCTATCAAAGACAAACGTTCCAAACCCGTAGCTGCCTTCAATCGCGTTTTTAGTGCTTTGGCACGACCACAAAACCCATTTGATATTAGTGCCAACTTTCACACAGTTGGCCACTGGATATTGTTCCCCGTTATTAATAATTTTGTGTGGTAGTTTTTAATTATTAAAATATTCAAAAATTTTAAATGCCAGCTCTTTGAGAACGCTAAATGATAATTTGTTATTAGTCGGGCGAATTAAAAGTGTGGAAGAAAATTAAAACATAAAAGGTATGGATGTAGCCGTAATTAAAATGGCTGAAATTGCTTCATTTTGTAAATGGGCTCCATTCCCAGCCATAAAACAAGATTTTAAATAACTGGGCCTACCACAAAGCGCTTGTTGGCATTTATTTTTACATCGTGCGTGTTTTAGTCTACTAAGAAAAAGTCAAAGGATGTTTGTTTATTTAAAAATGCAACGTTATCCTGGTTATTAGTAAGGATTAGTAAACGACTTATTATTTACGTGTATGATCATGCGGTTTGGCATAAATGTGTCATCCAAGTATACAAATAATCTAGGTAATAGAAGGAAATCCTGTAGCAGTTCTAAATCGTGAATATTGGGCATGTCGATTACAGATTTATCTGTATCTATTTATACTGCTTGCTGTATGCAGCTTCGACAGAAATAGTTCCACTCACGCACATTTAGCTTAATCAAAATCAGAATTATTCTTAGTGAAAAACATGAAAATTAGTTAGAATTCCGACATAAATTCTGTAAAATCTGTTTGTTTGGACTATAAACGTTATTCTCGAATAGATTTCGTGCAACAATGTGCATTTTATATATGTAATGATACATTTTGCGAACTGCGTGCTGATTTAAAAAGTAAACACTTCTTTTCAGTGAGGTCAGTGTCGATCAACAGACGAATAAATTCTCCCTTTGTAGATTTCAGTTGTACTGTGAGGTGCAATTCTAGCTTTGTGTAAGTAAAATAAACTTTAAAAAAGCTCGAATGAAAAAAAACACCGACTTTTCATTGAAACAATCTACGTCTGACTGGTTTATTAAAACGTGTATTAATTTTTTAGTTTAATGTCCAGAATTGATGTTCGTGTGAAGGTCTATAAATCAACCGGGGCGCCTTTAATTGGTCGAGTAAAAGTAAAAAGAATTTAGTGCTTGCATTCCAATGCCATCTCCCGATTTAACTGAAACCGAAACGAAAAACCTACCTTTACCTAGACATTTTATCACTTCAAAGGCAATAATAGTTCCATGAATCATAGCGACAAAGTGGCGCATTGCCAGCATAGTACTCCATTTATCTCCCATTGATCATTGACCAAGCGAAGAGGAGAAAATAACGACCGGATCTATAAATTTCTCCAGCTCAGCAATTACCCTTTTTGTTCCATCTACATTCGCCAGCCTCTATGAAAACCAGATTGCGGACCAAATGATAAGAAACAAATGTGCTATTCAAGCTATCACTTACAAGATATCCCTCATTATCCACACATGAGCAGCATATGGTTTTATTCAGCGAAAAACAAGCGCGAGGTTGTTGCTCGCTGGAAATCTCGTCGTTCAAAATCGATACAAAAACCCATTTTCCGCGTTATTTTTTGCAGGAACCGGGACCTAAGTAGATCCTGGAAAGCGCTCGGAAGCAACTTCCTTATTTTAGCCGCGAATTACATCCTTCGCTTAATGAAACTATTATTAGCCGCCTCGAAATTGCATTAACGCGCTTGTTTGACTACTGTCATGGCAGCAAATTGATTTGCTGGATAACAGGGGCCCACGCCGCCACTGACTAACCATCTTCCCACCAGGGAAAATAACCGATCATTTTCTCTAATAACGGTTTATTAATCAGACTGTGTCGCCGGAGCAAATAACAACAAACACACAACACGTTCTATCTAGGTCACCTAAATTGGAAAAAATATTCTTGCGCCCCTGTTCGCCGTTTGGCGACCGACGATCTATAACTTGTACTAATTTCCTCTTTCTGTTACAGGCGCCGGAGAATCAGGGAAAAGCACGATAGTCAAACAAATGAAGTAAGTAGCATTGTAGTCTAGAACGAAGAATGGGGTCTAGCCCGATTTTAATTTAATCATTCCGGGACTCCTTATTTTCATTAAAATTGATAACGTGTCTGTCGGTTCCATCGCACTGAAATCTTTTATTACATTATTGCTTTGTTAACTTTCGAAACAGAACAAAATTCTTTACAAATTAAATTAGTGTCGCAAAATTTATTATCTAATTATTTTCTAAATCTTCCCGAGAAAGTGGAATTGATGTTGGCGTGTCTCGGGTATTTTTTGTGGAAGTTTTCGAACTTCCGACGGTGTTGGCAATGATGAGGGTGACTCCGCTCGAGTCACTTTTAACTTTTTAATAAACAAACAGCGATTTGACCGATTTGAATTACGATACTTGGCATTTAGAAATTGGCGTGTACATACCGAATTAATTTAAAGGGTATTAATGAGTTGTACACACTTCAGGGTTGATTTTGTTTAAATTAAGCTGGTAACGTCCGTCGAAGTTAAAAGTTTCTAAAGAGGTGGTTACGGATTAATTTTTTTTGGTCGGCACCGAACCTCCCTCCTCGGCAATTGACGTCAAAGTGACGCCGGAATATTAAATGTGGAGGTTATTTTAATACGCTCTTTTTTATGAAAAGAATTTCTCCGTGGGAGTAATTTACAAACCCCCTTAGTTTAAAAATGTAGGAGTACTTTGTGTTCAAATGGGTGTTATCTTTCGGCGCACATTGATTTCATTATTCACGATGTCGAGGAAATTCGCAAACAGTGTTTACCCAGGTCGTGATACGGGGTCTTGAAAAATCATTAGAACTGGTTAACAGTCGATGACTTCCGATTATTTTGAAATAATAATGATGCTTAAACTCGACGTCATTGTAGCACGATTTTTTTGAAGTCAATGATATCTGATTATCGCGCGCGGAGGTCAGTTACTCTTTCTCAATTTCCATTATTTAAACGGTTATTTATGATAATTGTGTAGTAATGGATACAGTGGGAGTTGTGTCCGACAAATGGATGTTTCACGCCAAATTAGGTTACATCCGCGACAAAATTACATCGCCAGAACAATGAAAATTTTTGAATCTTGGATTCGTTATGAGCCTGAATTCTCGACCGAAATATTACGATTCCCGGAGAACTCCTGCACAGATGTTTTCTTGCTTTGACATTTATGAAATTTATTAACAGGAAAAGACACACTTGTGGATGTTATTAGTACACAAAAAATGGAACAAAGTCCCACTGAAAGAAAAAAAGTTATATAACCGGGAATTTGGCGTACGTCTGTTCCGAACGTTAACCCTGGATTCTTTGCGAATCATGTGCGATTCAAATATTTAATTACTTTTTATCATAAGTTATAGTGCAGTCGAACTATTTTTTCTATCTCTGTAAAGTGTGAAAAAGTTGGTCCACCATTTCCATCTGCTTGTCATCTGTTGGCAACTTGTTCGCCCAAAAAAGTGTACTGGTTGTTTTCGAATTTTAGAAATATTTTAAAAACGTCGGGTAGATGCTAGCCGAACTTTATTTTGACTAAGTAAATCGTACTTAAAATGTGCTTCTTATCGTTTATTGTATGTAATATACCGTGTATTCAAAAAAAATTCCCAAACCCGTAACTGTTTTATTTGTTCTTCTGTCAAGTGGGAGTTGAAACTACTAATAGAATCTAAAATGTGAAAAACGTAAAAAAAGCTCTAATCGTAACTTTTTTTGTTCAAATCGGTCTTATCTTAGTAAGTAATAGTCCCGTCCGCCCGCCCTTGTCTCATTCTAACGACTAATAGTATTTCTGTTCAGTATAAGATCACTCATTTCATTCAGATCGATTTTTTACTTTTTAGATTTTCAATTTTTCGTTAAACTTTCGATTTTTCAGTATTTCGATTTCTTGAGTTTTCAGTTCTTCTTTATTTCAATTTTTCAATTTTCTGATTTTTTTCGATTTCTCGATGTCTCAGTTGTTGAATTTTTCGATGTTTCGATTTTTGGATTTCTCGGTTTTTCGATTTTTTTACTTTTGATGTTTACATTTTTTAGTTATCCGCTTTTTCAATTTTTTAAATCCTGGGGTTACGATTTCTCGATTTGTCGATTTTTCAGTTTTTCGATTTTTAAATTTTAGATTTTTCGATTTCTCAATTTTTTGATTTTTCAGTTCTTCAAATTTTGACTTTGCTACATTTTCAGTTATCCGGTTTTTCAAATTTTTCAAATCCACAAGAAAATGTTTTCAACTAATTTTCGCAGCTAGTTGAAAAATGGTCGAAAATGTCAAAAGTGCCAAAATCAGTCTTCGTATCAAATAGTAGCCCCGCCCACCCACCCTCTAGTTTCTTGGAAGGTACATCATTTGCCAAAATCAATCTTATCTTAGCAAGTACTAGGGACCCCCCCCCCCTCTTCTGATTTTAACGACTAATTTCATTTCTGTTCAGTATAAGATCGCTCATTTCATTCAATCAGTCACTGAAAAGGAGACAGGGTGGGTGGGCGGGACTAATTTTGTTCTTCTGTCAAGTGGGAGTTGAAACTACTGATAGAATCTAAAATGTGAAAAAAGTAAAAAAAGCTCTAATCGTAACTTTTTTTGTTGAAATCAGTCTTATCTTAGCAAGTACTAACCCCGCCTATCCCGCTCATTTAAAAAATAAATATTTAATTTTCACTTGTTTTTGTCTACGACCTGGGATTTTTTCGGACACACCGCATAAACAATATAACCTTGATAATGGGAATCAATTTTGGAAAATTTCCCAAAAATCTGAAATTCAATAACATGTTCATAAAAATAATGTTTTTTTACGCAGTTCGAAAAAATATTACTCTGTGACCATAAACACGCAACATTTTTGGAATTTTCCAATATGTATACCCCTCTTATGAAAATTTCGACCCATTTTCGACGATTTTCGTAATTTAATAAATCCATTTTCTTATAGAATTCGGGCCGCAGAAATCACTTCCGGTGTCATTTCTTCGGTAACTATGTATATAAAACCGTTTTTCCAGAATCCACTGAAATATCCTAACTTTTAAAAATTTTAAAATATTCGAATTTCACTCTGAATATTTCGACAATATTGTTCTGTGACCCTTACTACCCTATATTTTTGGAATCAGCACCTCAGAATCTACATGGCTGAATTTTTTGAGAATTTTGAGACGACTTTTTCGATAATGAAATTTGCCGCCATGTTATTTTCCCTTACACAAATTTCAATCCATTTTTTGCCCTAGCATTCAGGGTTTTTGATAGAAATTTGATTAACAATAAAAAATATTGGTACACCCAAAATTAGTCCTATCTTATCAAATACTAGCCCCGCCCACCCACCCTCTATTTTCTTAGGTCATACAAAAATTTTATACCGGGTTATTTTGACAAAATTGTAAAAAGTTTTATATTTCAATTAGCGATTTTGGAAAAACGGAAGAAATTTCCGAAGAACCGAAGTTGAAAATGACTTCTGGATATCGAAATCTACAAAAAAATGTCTTCAATTATTTAATTTTCGGATATATGAAGTTGAAAAATGGTCGAACATGTCAAAAGTGCCAAAATCAGGCTTATCTTATCAAATACTAGCACCACCCACCCACCCTCTGTTTTCTTACAGGGTATGCCATTTGCCAAAATCAGTCTTATCTTAGCAAGTACTTTTCGAAATTTAATTAAACACAATTTCATGTAGATTTCAGGCCGCAGAAATGACTTCTGACCTCATTTTTTCAGTAACCCCAACCGTTTTTCCTGAATCGCCCAGTGAAATATCCCAATTTTTAAAAATTTCAAAAAATTCTAATTTCACTATTTCGAAAATATTGCTCCGTTACCATAAACACGCTATATTTTTAGAATCAGCACATCGGAATCTACATCCCTGAATTTTTTGAAAATTTTTAGACGATTTTCTCAAAAATCAAATTTTCCACTGTTTCATTTTTTTATGGGTATTAGCCAGTTTACCGGGAATGGGTCAGTTGCGCGCTGCGAACAAAACTGAAAGTAGCTTTTATTTCCTAAATATTCCAAGAATAGATTCATCTTGTAAAACATGAAGCATTTTGGTGAGAAATTACTTTAGCTTTTTTCATATCCAAACGAAACAATTTTTACTAAAGCAGATCGGCTAATTTTGTTGTTTTTATACTTGTTGATTAAATTACTAATATATCTAATATACTGTACTATATATTAAACTTTTATCAGTTTCTGTGCCAAATATGCTTGTGAAACTGATGGAACTGTTCTGATCCCGATTTCTTCATATCAGCTAGGTACCTCTAAGTAATAATAACACTAATTTCCTATTTGCGAGTCCCAAGGCCTTTTTGGGAATTAGACCAGCTACAAGGGGTAAATTGACCACCGCGCGCAAGTGACCATCACCCAATTTACCCTCTGTAGCTGGTTTAATTCCCAAAGAAATCATCAAATTATACATATACATTACACAAACCTAGAGGAAACTAGCTGATAAGACAAAACCATCATTCTAGTGTCCTACATTACAGTTTCATCAGTTCTACAGGAAGTTTCGCAAGACAGGGACAAAAAATTCGAAAACTGCTTTAGTCTTTGGCATTTTTGATAGAAATTTAATGAACAATAAAAAATATTGTCACACCCAAAGTCATTCCTATCTTATCAAATACTAGGCCCGCCCACCCACCCTCTATTTTCTTAGAGGGTAGGTCATACAAAAATTTTATACCGAGCTATTTTGACCAAACTAACTGTAAAAACTGCTATATTTCAATTAGCGATTTTTGAAAAACGGTAGAAATTCCCGAAGAAACGAAGCCGAAAATGACTTCTGGATATCGAAATCTACAAAAAAATGTCTTCAATTAATTTTCGGATGTAGTTGAAAAGTGGTCGAAAATGTCAAAAGTGCCAAAATCAGTCTTATCTTAGCAAGTACTTCTCGATTTTAACTAAATACATGTTCTTGTAGATTTCAGGCCGCAGAAATAACTTCAGGCCTCATTTT